GGTAGTGGATGGAGACCTGAGACAGCCACACCTGTGTCTGCAATCATCAATCCAGCAGGATATTTAGTTGTAGTGGCAACTCTGTCCACCAGGGGCAGCAATTTAGGCAGTATGGAAAGAATTCATGGTCCTTCATTTTTATTATTTATTTATTTTTTGTTCCAGTTTGGTTCAGTACAGTTTGGTCCGCTTTGGTCCACTACAGTTTTGTCCACTACAGTTTGGTACAGTACAGTACAAATATAGATTAAAAAGAGGGCAAGAAAGACTTTTATACTGAAGTGTGTGTGTCAGGTTTCAGGTGGAGTACGTCCTCTCCGAGCCCTCGGACAGCTGGACCGGTCGGCGTGGTCGGGTGGATGATTCCTTGCTGAAGGATTTCCTCATCAGACCAGAGAGCTCTAAAGTGTTTGTGTGTGTGTGCGGCCCCACCACCTTCACAGAGCTCACACTCAGGTTTGTGTTAAAACATTTATTACATAACGACTTCATCATTAATCTGAAAGGATGTTTCGATGAGAGCCTGACAGGCAACCCTAACCCCTGTGTGATCCTCCATACGTCAAGACATCCCAGCTCCTCACACAACTCTATTATTGCACTCGCCCTTTTGGAGGGAGGTCGTAGGTCATTTGAGGGTCTAGAAGACAGTTAAAGTTCCCTCCTATTATTGACTGTTCACATTCTACATCTTCAATCTCATAAAGGCCTCAGGATAAGGCTAGACTCTGTCTGTGACTTTGTGTCTAACAGAGACTCTGTCTGTGACTTTGTGCCTAACAGAGACTCTGTCTGTGACTTTGTGCCTAACAAAGACTCTGTCTGTAACTTTGTGCCTAACAGAGACTCTGTCTGTGACTTTGTGTCTAACAGAGACTCTGTCTGTGACTTTGTGTGTAACAGAGACTTTGTCTGTGACTTTGTGTCTAACAGAGACTCTGTCTGTGACTTTGTGTGTAACAGAGACTTTGTCTGTGACTTTGTGTCTAACAGAGACTTTGTCTGTGACTTTGTGTGTAACAGAGACTCTGTCTGTGACTTTGTGTCTAACAGAGACTCTGTCTGTGACTTTGTGTCTAACAGAGACTTTGTCTGTGACTTTGTGTCTCTGCTGCTAACTGTCTTGGACAAATCTCCCTGGGAAAAGAGGTTCTCTCTTATCTCAAAGCTCCAACAGAAAATGCTCCTCCAGCAAGGAGTCCAGCCTGCTGCTCAGGCTTGTGTGTGTGTGTGTGTGTGTCCAACTCCAGCCTGCTACCATAGAGAGAGAACAATAGCAATCCATCAACAGGTCTCACCTGCGCTAATTAACTCTGGCACTGCTCCCCCAAGCCACCTACACATCTCTCCCCTACAGATGAGCCTTACACCAACCCCACTCAACAGTGATCATTTAAAAAGAAAAAAAAACAACAAACACCAACATTTAAAAAATGATAATATTAATCCAAGAAGAACACAGGCTGGCTGGTGCTCTGTTGTCTTATATAACTCATAGAAACAATAAAAATCCTGAAATAAACTGAGACATTTGCCATGAAGTGATAGTAATGATTGTAAGGAGAGAGTAATTACAGAATAATGCTCCAGCACAATTCACTGCTGCTTTGAGAGAAGGAAACCTCTTTTGTCAAGTCTAAAGTTGACAATCCTTCTCTGTTTGTTTATGTTTCAGGTTGTTGAAGCAGCATGGCTTCAGTGAAGAAGAGCTGCATGCGTTCCAGGGCTGACGAGAACTTCGGATAAAGAAATCCACCCTGCAAAGACTGTTATTGAAGAGTACTGCCGCTAAAAGAATCCAGCCTGCAAAGACTGTGTGCCCAAGAGTACTACCTCTAAAGGAATCCACCCTGCAAAGACTGTTATTGAAGATTACTGCCTGTAAAGAAATCCACCATGTATAGACTGTTTGCTGAAGATTATTGCCTTGATAAGAAACTTGCCCTGCAAAGAGTGTGTGTGCCTGAGTGTGTGTGAGAGGGTCAGTTATTTACTGACCTGTGTTTGTGAGAAATGAGCTGATCTTTTTATTTCTATGCACTGAGGATCTGATGATGCTTACAGCAGTTACAACATGAGCCAGTGTTTAATCATGGGCTGTGGGGGAAATGAAACTAGGTTTGCTTCAGTCTCCAGCACCCTAACCCTGCACACCATCAGTTCACGTCTCAAACAGGCTCACATTCTGACAGCATTACAGAAAGAATCAGACCCTTTTTGTGAAAGTTTAAGATTTAAAACAATTTTTTTTTGGAAACAGCTGTTTCCAAACTACATTGACCAAAAAAGTAATTTACACTCACAGAACACAAGAGTCTGTTGTCGTCATGGTTGTTAGTATTTTTGTGTTTTGCACAAATGCTGTAGAGGATCATAAGTAATTATTTGAACCTCATAGTCACACAATAACCCACACAGACAAACATTAAGGTCATTGTAGAATGGTGCGTGATCGCTCTCTGCAGGGATTCTTTCTGTAATGTTGTCACACACTTAGAATAAAAACCTGAGCCTGTCAGGGACAAAAACATCTTTTAGTGGACACACTTTGATCCGTCAACCATTATGTTGAAGCAATCTTCTTTCTTAATACATGTTTTTTTGTTCTTATTTTTCCTTCAGATCCCAAATTACTCTGCACTCTACAAGGTGGCCTTGTTAATTAAAATGGCTGAAACAACCTTTATGGTCAGGAGAGCAGGAAGTTGAGATATAGTCGAGCAGTGTTTTTAAAAAATCTGTTATATGATACTGAGATAAATGATGAGGTATATGCAACCCAAAAACAGATTTCACATTTCTGATATGTATGGATGTTTCAGTTAAATTAAAAAAACTATGTGAACATTTTCAACTAAGTTTACTATTTTTTTTATTAGTTTAATTTTGGTTTACATTTGTTGAAAAAGTGTGTTGTCTTTTGCAGAGTATAAACATGAAATCTAGAACTAGTTTCTGCTGCCGAAGTAGACTGAAACTACTGAAATCACTGAAGAGGAAACTTAGCGTGTTCATCACTGGAGTCAGAGAGACAATTTACAAAAGGGACAATAAAGTGTAGGGAGAGCAGGTTTTAAACCCCACTCATGTTTGTAATTTGAATAACTTGATAGGAAGGTTGTCGAACCTGAAACTAAGCCCCCCCCCATTCATGATTCATGATCCCACTTCAGATTCATGAGGGTTATATATAGAAGCAAATAAGAGACATACTTATTTGAATTTTAAAAGCCACTGTATGTTATATATTGAAATTTAAACACCACTGAATTCATAGCATTGGCATATTTTACTTTGAAAACAATGAATCTGAATCAATTTGTCCTGAATTGACCTATTTAAAAATCAGATCCAAAAATTCAGCTGTCATAATTTCAACAACAAAAAGACTCAGTTTGCTCAAATTTGATTTGTCAAATTCAGATCTAAAACTTCAAGTTGAAAATATTCAAAATAAAACCTCAAGACAAATTTAACTAACTCCATGCAAGAAGCGGCTCGAAAATCGAAACCTGATAGACTCAAAGATGGCTGCCAGGGAGAACGACGGGGCCCCGGTAAATAGTACAGTTTGGTGTTTATGTACAATCAACCTCAGGGCTAGAGTTAGCTGTGGGTGTGATTGATTTTTCGGGTGCCGACCTCATGGCCAAGCACTTTAGCACGGGCACCCAGTCATTTTTATCGTTTGAACTCTTTTATTTTCTCATTACATTGAAGTCAGAGTGTATGTCTGTAGGCCCAGTTCTACCATCACTGATAGGCTGGACCTGGCTGCTTGACAACCTTTACTTCTCCAAAGTTCAGTTTGTCAACACAGAGCTAGTGTTTCATGATTTAGAGGATTGGTTTTACACAGAGTGCCAAAGGCTCAAACAAACATCATATACGACACAATAGGTTATAGGGATGATTACTGCCACCAGGAAGCTCCTAGTCTGCCTTTTTTATGGCTAACTCTTGACTGAAAGATCGTAGAGCGCTGGAACCAAGACCCGTCCCCCCCAATTTGAGCTCAAAACTGATTGGTTAAGACAATTTTCAGCCGACCTTCCGTCCCAGAGATACGAGCTGAAAGAGACAAGGGGACAAGACCAGTGTGTTCAGCAAGGCCAATATATGGGGGACAGATCAAGGTTTGGAGTCCATGTGACCTTCCGTTGTGGAGTTATATGCAAATAGGGAAAGGGAATGGGTAAGGGACAGATCAGCATTGTGGGTGTAATCCTAACCAGAGATTGCACTTCGGAAGTGTGATCTGCAGGATAGGGATTGGCAAGGGTTTGGATCACCATTGAGGGTGGAATCCTAACTAGGGCTCCAGTGGAGACAGGGATGAAAACCACTTGGCTATGTCTGATTATTGAATAACTTTTGATAGGAAGGTCGTATTGACTCGAAACCAAGACGTATCCCCCCATTTGCGGACACAGGCTTTCCAATGGTACCACTTAAGGGTCTCTACGACATTGGGAAGTACTTGAATCAGCTACTTTGTGATTTGTGTCTTGTCTGATTGTAGGAGCGTAGCATCGCCGCAGCACTAGTGTCTAGAGTCAATCTGCCCCTCACATCGTGGCTCCTGGATTAACTGACCAACAAACCACAGTTTGTCCTCACAAATCCTGTACACTACAGACTTTACAAATTCTCTGGTGACTCTGCTGGTGTCGGCCTCATCCATGATGGGATGGACTTTGTGTACTGGTGCCAGTGGAGCTGCCTCCAGATGAATCGCAGAAAGGAAAGGGTCAGATGAATGTCTGAGTGTCAGAAGAGGTGATTAGGTTTGCAGTATGTTTCTTCTTTAAGTTATAATATTATATTTCCAGTGAGGCAGTTTCATTCACTACACTTCTGAACAAAACATACCAAATAAGAGTACTTAAAGTACTTTTAAAAATAAAAGATTTCCCAATGTTAAAGAACAAGAAACATGGACTTCATATTGTTTGTTACTGGATTATAAAAACATATTTCAGTGTCTCAAAGAACTTTGATGAAATCATTTTTTCTTCTTCCTCTTCTCTTCCTTCTTCTTGCCTTTCTTGTTTTGCTCTGGTTTTCTAAAACTTAGGCCATGGCGGACTTTGCAGCCTCTCCACCAGGCTTGAAGCTGCGTGGGAAAAGGTTAAATGCCAGAGACAGATTTAGGGATTAGTAAACTAGATGTGAAGGTGGTCAGGTTGCATGGCATGATGCTAATGGGTATAAACTGTGGTGAACTGAGTCCTTAGTTTATGTTCTTACCTTTATAGCAGCCCTGGTCTCTGCCTGCTGTAGCTGGAGTTTCTCCAGTTTATCCCTGTCCTCAACCACCACCTGCTCCATCTCCCCGAACTGGAAATAATTCAGCACATGTTATTACATTATGACAGTGCACCCTGTTCTGCATTTGAAGATTAATGAATCATGTTAAGCACACAGAGGTCACAGCTCACCAATCTCTTTTTCTCCATTAATCTGTCCAGATGTATTCTTCTTTTGCACTGCACTTTGTAGAGCTGCTGCTCCTTTTCCTTCTGCATCTGACTTCTGTACTCCTGCCACTGCTGCAGCTTTTGCTGAAACTCCTGAAACAGCAATAGCAACAAGATCGGCTGCTAAACTGCTAAGCTTAGATGATAATAAAATTAAAAGCTATAGTGACATCACAAAAATTAAAGAACAAGCTGCAAATGAAAAACATTAACTACAAACAAAATTCATCCCTTAAAGGGATACTTCACTGAAACATTAATCTGTATTGACATTGGGTCATATACGTATGTAGCAGAAATGTAAAATACATTTTGAAGTTGGTGCCTTCTTGACCAACAAAAGGAAGAAAGTGTCTTTTTGGCTCATGTTGAAGACACCAACTCCCAGAATGCACAGCTCCACAGGCCACTCCAACTGAAGCTTGGGCTTTATGTTATTTACAGACATTTACTACAACACATACGGCCGTTTCCTCAACTGATTCCGAGATTTCTTGCAGAAGGAATTGGCATCTTGGAAATTCCTGGCAGAAAAGGGACTCTATGTCTGTGTCCATAGGCAAACAGTGAGAGCACCGACACCACCAGTCCGCCCAGCTCGAGCCGCCCAGGCAAATTTATGGCCGTCTGAGTAAATTTCCGACCTGATTTTATTACATTTTTCATGCATTCAAAAAATGGATGCGTGCGCACGTGAGAGAGAGAGAGAGAGAGCGCACAAGAGAGTGAAATCACATCAGCTTCAGTGAAATAGAGAAGGTCTATGGAATCATATTTGTGCCAGAAAAATCAAAAGAAAATCTTAAAATGCAATCAAAAACAATACTTTGAGAGAGATATAATCTCACTGAAGCAAAAAAAATTACTTTGCATGTATTTATTTTTAAAATCGTGTATAAAGAAAGAACTTTTAATTCATTTAACTGTTGAATAAATACAGACCCTCAGTTTTCACAGGTTTAACATCATCTCAGATACAATGTGCTTGGTCTAGCAGTGAGAGTATGCTCCCTCTTCATCAAAGGAACTGGGTACTTGACCACAGGTGTAGAAAAAAACACAGCTTCAATTGCAAATCATTTGGGTTGAGTTGTTCATGCGTTTTTGTTTTCGGCAACACATATTTGAATTCATACTGAGCTAAAACTGCAGCTCCGGTTATGACAGAGCAGCTTCCAAAAGCAAACCATTCACAATATGTTATAATGACTTTAGTCTGTTGTTCATTGAATATTTGCTGTACCAACCTTATTTTGATTTTGCAGGAATATCTCAGACTCCACATGAACTCTTATCTCCTCCTGATGCTGTTTCTGGAGCAGCTAAGAGAGAGATCACAACACATTATTTGGACAACATTTACTGTATACCTTGGGTCTGCAGTCCTGATTTTACACAGGAATTAAAGTAGCACAGAGTGTAGCACAATTTTCATTGTTTTCTTTTAAATATTTTTTTCTGGCATTTCGATTGTAGAGCAGCCAGGGGTGCTAATTCTGTGTACCTGGGACCATGCATGTGCCCATTGACTTTTCTCTGCTTAACATAATGAGTGGTTAGTTGCATTGTGGGTGCATTGCTCTTGATTGATCAAAAAGCCATGAAGTATCTGGGGCAGGTTTTCCATCTATTTTCAAAATCAGTTCTAATGGAGAAGTAAGTTGGTATATACAAGAAATTTGACTGTTTTCTACATTACTTTCAATAGACAGACAAAGACATTGACATTCCACACGTTTATCAATTGACACTAAAACCAAAACTACTATATAGGCCTATGAATACAATGGCTGCAACTAATGACTTGCAACTAATCATTGACTAGTCATAGATTATTGAAATGATTAATCAACTAATCTGATAATGTCTTGCACAATAACTTAAGGGCTCGAATTTATCTACCAGCTTTTAAATTTAAAGGGGTCATATTATGCTTTTGCACAGCAGACTGGAGTAGATCCTGATATATGCGACTTTTTATGACAAACAGGAAATGTATCATGAATAAGTTAGAACTGATAACTGAATTATTAAATTTTGAATTAAAAAAAAAAAAATTTGATCCCCAAAATTGAAATTGTGAGATTTTGAAAGATTCACACTCCTACTGTATTTTACAGAGTCGGATCAACATTGTTTTTGATTCATTGTGTTAATCAATCAATCGATCTTCATTTGTGTAGCGTCAACTCATAACAAGTGTTATCTAGAGACAAAAAGAAGGTAAAAGACCTTAATCTTTGTTTTTAAATATTACAAAAGAGCAGGTAAAAAGTGTAACGTGTTGCCCTGGAATAACCCCAAATTCACCCCAAACCCCTTTCCTGTTTGCTGATGGGAAAACACAATTCATCGATTAACTGTTTGAAAGCCAAACACTACATTGAAATGTAGAGACAAGATGTCATAAAACACTTTGGATACCTTTTTAATCCACACAGGTAGTCATTGCTGCTGCTGTCTGCCTCCACGTTATGTCTTGTATGTGCTTCCAATGTGGCCTCTATGATTATTCTTTTCCCTTGTCGCCCCAGTAGTATCTTTATTGCATGAACTGCTTTGATTGTGCCTGCTCCAATTGTGTGTGACATATTGTATGTCTCTTTTCCTTTTGCTTAGGCCTGTTGTAATTATAAATGTAATGTATTTTATTGCATTTTAAATCTTAACGATTGCATTTTAGGTTGCTTACTGACAACTGGCCGGGGACTACAACTGGAAATTAGCCGTAAAGGCTAAAGCTGCTTCTTTTACTGTACAGTAAATTAAAGGGGACTGTCAATAAACAGTAAAAATAAAGGGGACGAAACAATAAACAAATAAACTGAACTAAAACAGACCACTTGGCTATATGTGAAAGACCTCCGAATTAGCAAACTCAGGAGGGATCAAAACAACAGCCGTCTGCAGAGTTAATCAACACGGCAGGGAATGTGATTTGATGTGCTCTTGACTATCTCACCCACTGATTTAACAGCTTTACATCTGATGAACGATCTGTTCTACTCAACATGCTCAATTTCTGATATAAAAGAATGTCTTTTCAATCCCTGAATCGGATATATAATTGCGACATGAAGAGTAACATTTTCATGTGAGTTAGATTTAGCTTCTATCATCTATGACAGAATTATAGATAGGAAGTTTTTTTTTCCATATTACCTGATGAACCTTCACTGAATCTTATGTGGAGCACTATTGCCCCCTAGTGGCAAGATTACTGCATAGATCTACGTTTTAGAATCGAAGGAAAGATATGTTTTAATTGTTATTTTGTTCTAGTTATAGGAGATGGTATTTGAAGATACAATTTTATACTTTTCATACTATATTAATGTGTTTTATTGAGAATGATGAATGTCATAACGTTGGTTTATTTTCATACAGGCAAAAATCGATTGGTTACCTTCAGGTTCAACGCATTGCTGCCGGAGATAAAACAGCAAGTCTCCACAAACTCGTTTCTCTAACTTTACATTTTGCTTTCTTCCCGTGTTGCTCCCACAAAACTCTTTTCAATTGTAAGCTCGGAATTGTAGGAACTGCAGACCTCTTTTCCGTTTTATATTCTATTACTATTTTTCGCGTGCACGGTAACTCAGGTGCCTTTTGACCCAAGTTACGTGCTTAAGTTTTCCTTTTGAAGTATTGACCACTCATCTTTCAGAACACTATTTTTGTGATTCTCAAACCGACTAGAATTGACCATCTAAGTCAGTGAGAGTTAAGGACCGTTCAATTTTAAAGAACGTTGTCTGGACCCGCTTTGAGCCGGACCAAACAGAAGACGACTAGACCGCTGTGCCATCCATCACCCCACTTCTCTCATCAACTGCGACCAGATTTGCTACGGCTATCACTGTGGGCCGCCGGCATCCTCGATCCGAAAGAACTCGACGAGGGCTAAGTGGTACCATTTGGCGGAGTTCTCCCGAACGTGACTCAGAATAAGTAGTGGGTGTGTGAAAGCAAAGCTTGTCGAATCCGAATCAAAGCCTCTAAATCAACTTTTATACCAAATTCATTAAGTCCCCTTTTTATAAATCCTTACCTAGTTAAATCACTCAAACGATAATGCGTTTTACCTTGTTGCTCTAACATAAGAACTTCACCATTCCAACTTAGAAAACCAATACATAACATTGTCTTATTTACGTTGTCATGTCAGTATCACTGTCATAATTATATCCTTTGCCTATTTACTCCCTTTATATATCTTTTGTTCACCATTTTCTATATTAAACTTCACACATAAAATATCAGTACTTTGTCTGTGTATTTTTCTGGTTTTAAACTGCTTGAGAATTTGCTCCGATGATATGAGATAGATTTATAGATTAATTAATTACTACAATTAAGGTTAATTATCTTATGCTTATACTTCAAGCTGGTGCCCCGAATTAGAATACGCTACAAAAGACCATACTCATTTATCAACACAGTATAGGAAACTTGACAATGTCTGAACATAATGTTTGTAACTGCCTGAAAGACCCATTTTGAAACTAATTTCTTCTTTTTTAAAAATTAAAAAAGTGGAAAATCAGCTGTTTCCTTGTTTTCATGCAGTCAAATCTTGAACGTTTAACTCCTTCATACACTGACCGAAGAAAGTTGTTAGCTATATTTAAAGACAGATGTCCAGGGTGCCTTCTCTTTACCGACATGCTCTCATGACAAGCAAGGTCCTATTTATAAATCCTGCAAGCAAATACTTTCTTATAGGAGAGGGACTGAAGGTCAGACAGAGTGTGTGATGTTACAAAAGAGAGTAGTACCATTGGTGCATGACCGGAGCAGCTGTGAAACAGCGATCATGACTCTAAGAAATATCAAGAAGAATGTAAAGTTTAAGCTGTGTGAAACAATTATTGCCAAAAACAATTTTACTCGGCTCCAGTGTATTGCTTACTTCTTGCAGCTGACAAGTTAAAGTGAGGGCAGTTAGCCCTGAGGTTAGCTACAACTTCAATAAGTCTCTCCTGTGCTTTCTGACTACGGTCGAGACTCGAGAAGTAGGAAAGGCAACACTGTCATTTTCAGGGTTCAGTGCTTAGAAGTTGTAGAATGCAATTGTGTTTCATCTGCAGCAACTTTTGGAAAAGGGGGCATAAACTGCCACAAATGTAAGAATTCATGCAATTCAGACCATGTGATAGATTGCTTGATTGCGTTTTTCCCAACCCTGGTCCCATGGACGCATTGCCCTGAAGGTTTTAAATGTTTCCCTCTTCCAACTCACCTCAATCAAAGGAATTATTTCGTTATCAGGCTTCTTTATGAGCTGATCATTTGAATCAGGTGATCAGGTGTGTAAGAAGAGGGAAACATCTTGAACATGAAGGTCAGTGGGCCCCCAGGACCAGGATTGAGAAACACTGGTCTAGTGGACCTACCTTCACCTTATCCTCTAGCAGCTTCTCAGTATGGCTGGTCTCCTTTTGTGTCTGCTGGAGCTGCATCTCAAAGGTTTTCACCAAAGTTGTCTTCTGGTTGGCAATTTTTGAGGACTTTTCAATGAGCTGAAGCTTCAGGTCTTTGGCGAGTTGGTGCACCTCCTGTTTTTTGGTTTCACCAAAATCAACAGATTATCACTCACCAGTAACATATATTAATGCAGCCAATGTTTTTTTCTGCTCCCAGTTTCTCACCTTTAGTTTCTCTGTTTTCTGTTGGAGCTCCTCTTGCTTGCTCAAAAAATCCTCTTTTCTCTGGTTCAGCATTTTTCTCTCTCCCCTATGTGGTTACACTAACATTACTAATGGAGCTCAACAGTGATCGCACTTTTTCGGCAGCTTGGGTTCTGGAAGTAAATTTCCCCTTTCAAATCCTCCGTTGACCTTTCACAAAATCACAAAATCTATCAAGAGATTGACGCCTGGAACCAAGACCAATACTCGTGACTATACATTTGGTTCAATGCAAAAACAGCATTGAAAAACTGAGAAAAATAAAAAGATACAAGACTGTACATCTTTTTTTTTCAAGGAACTACCCATCCCATAACCCATTGCGAATAATACTGCTTCTTTTTAAATGTTACTTTTGTCATTGTTATGCTGTTTATACTGTAGAGGTGAACAATATCTACAATGACCTTGGATGGCTATGATATGGCGAATCCGCTATGGAGAAAATTAATGGGATTTTTACTTCCGGAACCACACTGTTGAGCTTTTCTTCTTGTTTGTCACTTCTTCTTGTCCTTTCTTTCTTGTCCTAACTAACATTTGGTAAACAAAATAACCTTTTTAGTAACATATGATTATAATGACTGAGATTAGTTGATTTAGTATTGTTTTCAAATAATCCACTGACAAACCTTCTCACGCTCCCAGCCTCCTTCTTCTGCTTTTCTTGCTCCAATACCTGCTGCAGAGAAGTGAATGTCTGCATCTCCTCCAGCTCTGAACACAGCTCGGAAATGTGCTGTGAGATCAACTGACTGCAGACAGAGACAAAAAACACAAACTTTGTTCGTAAAAATGTTAGTTTAAAAGAAACTGACTTTTGTCCAGTGTGACTGCACCACTCACCAGTCTCTTTTTAGCTTAGTCAGCCTGGTTATTTCCTAAACACACACAAGCATGTGCACGAAACACACAGAAAGAAAATAAATACAAATTATTATAAGTACAAAGACACAGATCAAATATCTGTGCTCCAGAGGACAGAGGAACTATCATGTTTTTATTTCACAGTCCAGAAGAACATTCCATACAAATGAGGTCACCTTTGGCGCTGCAGAGCCTCTCACACTTTTGATCTGCAATGTATGTCCCAGTATGTCCAACTTGTCTGAACAGTCCTCCAAAACAACTGCCAGTCTAAGTGTATGAGTTCGGGATAAAGACATACTGTGGAAAATGTTAGACATTTGGTTAAAATAAGTTTGTGATATAAGCAAGATTTTCTTTCCTTTAGAAAATAATATTTAAAAAAACGTTGGTCACAAGTCAGGTGTGGTTCAATAGTGGCCATTTCTCACAGATTATTATTGGAAGTTGCTGATTAAACATAGTTTTCAGGATGCAGCATGTCATAATTATACAGACTAAAATGATTATACTATAAGTGAGCCGTGCATCCCAGTCATCAAAAAAAACACACACACAGGAGTGTGTGTGTCTTATTGTTACATTCTTGTAATAATGCTGTTATGACAAGTTTTTTTTCTCCGTCTATTCAAAGTCCTCTTCCCAGCTCCCTATACTGTTGGAAAATTATTTACCCTAATGTTAGAAATAATATTTTGAATTAATTGATTTTAAGCGTGATGGCTCCCTTTTAAATTCCTATTACAGAGAGGAGGTTGAGCCCTGGTCTTTTTTATTTTATAGCTGTACTCAGATTCTGAGAGTCACGAGGCCCTCGTCCCAATTGTGGAAAGTTTTGGTCTTATCTTTTTAATGTCTTACAACATTAAAGTGAATAACAATTAAAGCTACTGTCTCCTTCAGACATTATATTAATCAGTCTGTAAAGGATTGTGAAACAAGAAAGCTTTACAGAAATTCATTGTTTTAAGAAGGCCTACTATGGACATTATGATAACTGATCTGCCTGCCTACTTTCATTAAGTTTTTATTATTATTATTATTATTATTATTATTATTATTATTATTATTAAACATTGTTTTTATTTAATTGAAACTTAACATTACAAGGACTGAGTCAATTGCAGGGTAGGGTACAAATATAAAGCCACAAGACCAGATGATCTTATAGAAATATAACCAGAAATCGATGTCCAAACGGGAGGTGATGGTACATTTTCACACATTTACATTTTACATCGATCAATAAGACATAGCCTATGACTAGTTTTCATTGTCTGTCGCATAGGCTGTGCTGCAGGACAATTCTAGCCTATTTCATGGGCGAGGAAACAGCTGTAGGTTACTTACTTCAGTCCTCTCCGTCACAGCCTCTTCTGGTTATTATTAGTTTATCATTGAAGTGTAAAACCTTTCCTGAGCAGAGCTGGAACGGCTACTTTAAGTCGTGTTTACATGTAACTATGGTAACAACTACAGAAGGTTTTTTTTTTTTTTTTCATGCAACTTTATTGAAACGGCGATACTTTTTTTCCATTCCAGCGGCCGCAGCCTCCAAAGGGCGCAGTCTTCTCTGTCTGGCTCCCCAGAGAGCACAGAGTCTGCACCCACTCCCCCCAACAGGAGGTGGAAACAGAGCTGCACCACCTTTTTAACCACCTGTCTGCTGTACCAGGACATCAGAGACACAACTTCCCTCTCATCACAAACACACAGAAACTATTGACCTCAATGGCCAGTGAGCTCAAACTGGTGTAGGCCTACACTGCAGCAGGTTATGTTAGCTGCTGCGACCGGAAGAGGGCGTCCAACAGCTCCAAACCACAGACTGTAGGCCTAAATATTACCCATTGAACAAAACGTCACTGCACTCTTCACCTGCACTAATTAGGCCTAGATCTGTAGCCTGCACACAGAACACAGAGCTGTAAATAGGCTGTTTTCTTTAAAAAATAAAGTCTGTTTAAATCTGAATATTTTAATGTTATATTTCTGTAAGACAGATTGCAGGGTTGCAATGTGGGTTTCCCCTTTTTTTTGATTACCAATGATTGTTGTTTATTATGACATTTCAATGAAAGACTGACTTGTAGAGGAGGAGCTTACCTTGTTGTTTTGGAGCAAATCCTGATTGGAGAAAATAACATGCTTTTTCAGATTGTTAATTGTAATTCAAAGAGGATAAAAAGACTTTCTGTAGGTATTGCATGATCTTTTATTGTTGTAGTTATTTCTCAGATTGTCTCTATGGAGTTACAGCTTCAATGTAACACAGAATGAAGGTACAACCTATACCATACATTAAACTGTCACACTAATGGATTTGTGTGGGAAAGTTTTCCACTCAACGCAGAGACCTAGATCTACAGCTCGCTGTCCCACTGTAACGACTGAGGTAAAGAAGGGGTGATGTACAAAAAGTGAGTGTGATCACAAAAGGTCATTCTAAAAGTCTTGAGGGGGCATTGCTTTAAGGACTTAGGATATACAATATATTTATTGAACCCACAGTACATTTAAAATACTACATATCCAGGTAATTCCAAAATAAATACATCAGCACAGTAAATGTTCCTGTACCTGCCTCTGTGCAAATTAAAGTGATTTAAGTTGAAGTTATGTGTGCATGAACATATACTGTGAATATTTAGTTAAGATATTTGTTACCACACAATTTAATTTCAAGGTTTGAATTGTTTAGGTTATATGAGATGTGTTTGTGGTCTTCTCATGGAATGTAAGTGGGTGGGGATTATGTGAAACAGGGGTGTCATGTACCTTCATCCACCAATCAGACATTGGGCCATGTTGAATCTAAAATTGAGGGGGGGGGGGGGGGGGTGCTAAGATTTGCACTGCTAAGATTGAACACAAAGAAGTTTTATTATGCCCACTATGGCTCAGAAAAGATTGTCACTTATACCCTTAAGCTTTTATGGCTTGAAGTCTTAACCCTTGACTTGCATCACAGGAAACATGACCCATATTATGTTTGAGCTTGAAATCTCAGCCTAGTCTGTCTTATGAACGGTCTGCAATGCTGTGTCAGACCACTGGCAATCTTAAGAGATCCAATGATTGCCAACAGATTAATGAGTGTTTAATTCTTAATACAAATTGACTTGTGCTTAACTTTTCAGTGTGAGGGAAAGCTAGGTGTTTGACCTGGGCTGGAGTTCTTGACCCATGCAGGTCTTAAGCAGTAACCTCCCTGCAGGAAGGGAGGGATGGAGGGAGGAGGTAGCACCGAGAGAAACCTTGTCTTCTGGCAACCCCGAAATGGCAACACAAGGCCAAAAGGAGAACAACGATGCCAGGAAAAGATCATCTTACCATTTTATAGTCCTCTGTATCAAGAATCCATTTAGTGTACCTCAGACAGATATTAAAGTGCGAGTGAAAAAGCTCTGTGAATTGGCCTTTGTATGGGAATCTTTCTACTAATATGTCCTTTAAGGCAACAATATGTACCTTTTCCACTTTAAAATAGTAGTTTCACAGTCGATCTAATAGTACACTAACTTTCAACGAGGAGAATAGTGTCGCTCCAATGTCTATAGAGCTTTTTGTAAGTTTGGCAGCGGTCCTCGTGTGAGAAGTGCGGCCCATTTCAGTAATGTGTGATACAGTGGCTGACGCTAAGTGACGGAAGCGCGAAGGTGACACATAAGAGCCTGAGTGTGCATCCCTGCAGATATTATTCATAACAGATCATGACATAATCTTAGGCTTTATTGTTATTGGTGTCTTCATTGTCCCCCTTGACCTGTGGTGGTCTGGTCAAAGTGTTTTGAGTAATCAAAAGACTTGAAAATCGCTATACAAGCTCAATCCATTTACCATTTTACCATTCCTATTAGCGTTTTTACTGTGTGCAGAAAGTCATTTAACCCAATTTATGTCTCTGGCTTGCATACAAATAAAAAAATAAATCCATCTTATGCTAAAAGTTGTCTCTACAACGAGCTGTAGACGCTAGCAGAGTCATTATGTGCAGTGCAGTTGCACTCAGAGACCTTCAGTGTGTGCCAGAGAGAACTGAACCAACATCCTCCATAATGTTGATTTAAATAGTGAATGTTAAATGGAGCTTGTATAGCGCGTTTCTAGTCTTCTGACTACTCAAAGTGCTTTTACACAGCAAGTCACACCTACCAACTCAGGTAGCGGGAGCAACTTGGGGTTTAGTGTCTTGCCCAAGGACACATCAGACGTATGGATAGAACCCCGGACCTTCTGGTTGAGAGACAACCAAATCTACCACCGAACCAAAGCCCCTCCTAAAAAAATAGAGCTCTAAAAAAAGCTGCACTACGAAATGTACAAATCTGTGCACAACATAGCACAAGTGTCATTGCGGGTTTCTGCCTAATGCACATGTAATCTCCATAGCCCTTGCCCACGTTTGCTAATGACAGTGCTGGTGTAAGATGTGGTGATGAGTAGTGATGGTGCAATGCCAATTTGAGGCAGCAGAAAGCGACTGCATCGTAGACGAAGAGAAACCTTGTCTAAAGTCAGTAAGTATGACACAGTATTTTCCTGCTATTTAAAGGGTATTGTACTTAGGTAGTAGGTGGCGCACACAAAAGGTGAATTAAACACTCACCATGTCAAATCACATTGCTATTGCTCATACAGTCAACTTAGTTTTTGATTGGACTGAGCGGAGTCGCTGAGGCTAAGTTGGTGGAGTCCGTCGTCTCTCAACCAAAAGGTCAGGGGTTCGATCCACATGTCTGATGTGTCCTTGTGCAAGACACTTAAACCCAAATTGCTCCTGCTGCTTCATCTGCGGTTCATGATTGGTGGATTGGGATTATATACTGGAGTGTAAAAGCGCTTTTAATAGTCAGCGGACTAAAAAGAACTAAGAATCTCAAGTCCACTTACTGAAGACTGGTCATCACATTTCTTTCAGCATGGGGCTTCTCTGATGATGCCAGGAGAAGGGGACATGCTCACTGTTGTACCTCAGAGAAATTCCTGCTCAGCCCCTGGTTGAGTTCTAAATGTGTTTTGATTATTTAAGAAACACAGATAAATGCTCTTCAAAGATCTAGGAGGGGGACAACTCTAATTGAGCATCATCAGCTAAATAAAATACAAATTATGACTTTTTGAATAATGTTTTACCAAAACACTCAATCAAAATTCATATCAAATAAACTGTTTAAAATTCCCTATTTTTTCAAGTTTGATTTTTTGCTTACAACCGAGGAACTAAAAAAAAAAGTCAGTCTTTCTTCAACCTTGTGCTTTTAGTTTTAAATGAGTTGGCTGACCTTGGTATTTAGCCATCAGCGGGGATGGAAGTCAGTGTGCTTTGAGACATTAGCCGTTTACAGATTACAATTCCGCAACAGCACAATAACAAAGTTTCTCTGTCATTATACCTTTGTACTTACACATTGTATCTGCAATGGTGTTATACTGTACTGGTGCCCCATAGTGCGAGTTTACATTGCATTACTGTGTTGTGGAAGCGCAAGAGGCAGGGCGCGTGGACACACAGCCCTGCCTCTTGCGATAGGCTGCTCCTATCTGCCAGCTCCGATGTTACACATCACCAGGGTCTTACCCCCATTATGCATCTCTTACTACCTCCAATGGTGGATCAGCTGTCTGAAGGGATGATCGAGAAAAATCAACTAAAGCCACACAAGGTTCAATTCAGGCATTCTGCAAGGCTTTACCTGACTGAAGTAAGCATACATATAGGTATTTCACACTTGCAGAAAGCGCCTGAAAATCTCGTGATATTTCCTGGAGGAGCAGTATGTATGCGAACGCAAACAGCCAAATATTGTGCTCGGAATTCACCGGTTTCTTCTGCCAGACCCCTCGTATTTTTCCACAGCAAGTCCGAGTGAGCTGATGTGAGAATGCAGCAGGATATTTTCAGGAGAATTCACCTCAAGCCAATGGGAAGGGGGAGTGACATTATATACTGTAACTGATGCACGGTGCATAAAGTGTACGCACGCTACTGCTACGTTCTCCATGCAAGTAATTAAACGGCTGCATTACGTTTTCAGTTAGTCAGGATGTTGTTCTACGCTCTTTTGTTGATATAGTGATTCCGGTGAACTACACGTAGCATTGATATAAAGGCAAATATTCTCGTCATAGCATCGTGGGATAGTCTCCCGCTGTGAGCTCAATATGCGAACAGCCAGGTCAGGAGAATATCCAGAGATGAAGAGTTTCAGATCTCTTTGATTGTTCGTTCAGATGGCTGGTACTCCTCCCTTCCTTTAGGGCTGGACAAGTAGAAGGACTGGGTCTTCCGCTTTAAGCGAGCTCTCTTGGTGGCCAGTGACAGGCTGTGCTTGCTGGAGGCAATAATGTCATAGATGAAGTCCTTGCAGTCCACACACACCTCCATAGTGGCCCAGTCCTCGGTCAGCTCTGAGGGAAGTTCGAGTTCTTCATGTGACTTTAATGATCCATGCTTTGAAAACCTACATGAAACAGAAACAGAGGGACAGTTTTAAAGAAAACAGGATCTTAGAAAAACCAAAAAACTTAAAACCAACTGTTTCCTGATTTTGTTACGACAGTTTATTTGGTGTAAATGTTCAATCTATCCGTGGCAAACAATCATGGGCATAACTATTTTTGAAAAGTGATTTCTCCCAAAATTCACCCAAATGTCACTAAAAAGTCTTATAATATATATATATATATATATATATATATATATATATATATATATATATACATATATATATATATATATACATATATATATATATATACACATACAGTATATGTCTAACATGTTATACAGATTATGAACCTATTATAGCCAGATAGATAAATATACAGACAGACAGACAGACAGATATTTAAAAAGGGACAGTGATAGAAATGTTTTATTAAATTAATGAAAACTAGTTAATAGTGGATGCATTGCAGTAATGAGAGCTACAGCTACAAAAATGTGTTAAAAACTATAATTATACGTTTAATTTGTAAATTACACAGTGTTGAAGAAACATCACTGACATCATCTTAAACACTGTGTTTGTTTAATTACTAAATGGTGGAATTATGTTAAAAAGATCATGGCCTTGGTATATCACTGGTTTTGTAAAAACAACAATTAACTTTGATAAATCACCTTCCTTCTATTTATTCAACACAGATGGCTTAAGTGATTAAAATGTGTTTGTAACAAACAGACTCACTGACTGTTTTGAAAATAATTTGCAATTTCATATTTTTGACCCTGTGTTGGAAATTCCTGGCCAGGAGCCAACTGCTAGCTATTTATCTTAAACATTGTGATTGTGACTGTTATATTTGTATAATCATTCGGGTTCACAAGCGTTTTCAAATACATAATGCATTTGCTTGTGCAGCATTTTGGAACTTAAGTTCAAGTTATTATGACAAGATATACCGTGCACTCAAGACAGAGTAATTGTGTTAAAGCTCTTACTTGGACATGGTCTTCTGAATGCTGTGGCGTTGTGTGCTACAAGGGGGTGTTTCAGGTTTAGGTGCAGCAGCTACTTCAGAGGCTTTCCCAGCTGCTTTAGATACTCTTGGCATTGCCTTCACATTGGAGTACACCTTGGCCCCTCCCACTGGTTCTCCAGCCACAGAGAGCCCTTGTCCAATTGCAGCCATAGCACTAAGCCTCTCTCTGGGGAGAGTTTTGTTAGAGCCAATGGAATAGATAGGCAAGCTTGAATAAGGTTTGGATGGTAGACGCATCTGTTAGGCAAGGTGGCCATGAATGAAAAAAGGGGGAAGTATAATCGTTAATAAGAAATCATTCTAATGAAAATTATCATCATGACACAGAGGTTAGGTGCTCTAGTTTTTAAATGTCTGTACCCAATTTTGAACAAAAAAATGTCAAATCCTTATTTCACAGAAAGAATATTTTCAGAGTGATGCAATACTAGAAATCTAATTTATAATGTGAATTTCTTATAGTTTTACTGCAGTGATCACACAATCATCTTTCCACATCGTTGTTTTTCAAAGCACACAGCATTTCTTTAAAAATTCAACTCAATTTGTACATAGAAAAGGAAAAAAAAGCCAAACAAAAGAAAAGAGTCAAACAACAACAGAAGAGGTTACAAATGAGAGAAAAAGCCAAAGAGGAGAAATGGGGGAGGGGGGGGGGGGTCTTTATTTAGCGGAAATCTTGTTTATTTTTTTGTATGCTACTCTTAAAGTGTGTTCTACTGTTTTTAGCCCTAATTTAAAGGGATACTTCACCCATTTGCATTAAAAGCTTTGTATCATTAGAAACCTGGTAGTATTTTTGAGTGGTCGTGCATCCCGCCCTCATTTTCCCCTGAGACCGAAGTCTGGAAAAAGAGCCTCCGATGACGCAAAATTACGATTTTTGCATCATCGGCAGCTGCTGTGGTTAGCGGGGTGAAACTACAATGCTAGTTCTTCATATTTTCGACCACTGAAGCTACAGACCTATCAGCTCTATGGAGAAAGCTGATAAAAACCGACATTGGCAAAAAAGTATGTTTCAACTTCAAACTGATTTGGATGAATTGGATTTTAAAGGTCTTTTGCTCGAATCGAATGTGGTCGGTGAAGTATCCCTTTAAGTTTAGCTATATTTGGAGGTTTACATTTCCTTGTTATGTGTTTGATAGCTGTCATTCGGTTGTTTAAGATGTTAATGTTAAACATATGTGTTTAAATAGAGTTTATTGCCTTCAGAAAATTTATTCCAAAATATTATTTTGTGTGTTTTATTCATTTAACATTCAGGGCTTAAAGCACCGCTTCTGGCGATCAGGAAGGATGAAATAGAATTATGATTTTAAGTTGCACCAGTGACTGACTAAATTATTTTACCTACCTTTTTGCAGCACTGTGAACACACAGGCCTGTAAAGAAAAAAATACAAAACAGAGTAAATGACAAATGCAACAACAACAAAAACACTTTCCTTTAGATTTTGATTCACAATAGAAAATAAACATGTAAGATTATTTACTTTTTACAAAACTGGCAGATGTAGGACCAGGTAAAAAAGGAAAACCTTCTGGTCCGGCAACAGAAGCAGAGCTGCAAAGTGGAAAAACAGATGATGAAGTTATTATTGAAAAAGTCACAATTATTACTATTTTTTAGACGTAAAAATATTGGAACAAATGATTTTGGTCATGTTGTGGTGGGGCTGGTTTCTTTGATGACTGGAGTTATGAGCCACTCCCCTCATCTCTGTATAGAGTTACACATGCATAGAATAGATTAATATACTGTATGTGGTTCTGACATCAAGGTAAAGATAAATGGATACAAGCTACATCATCCCACCTCACTGCAAAAAGTGTCAGTTATTAACTCGTGTACATTTCACTTTAAGTCCACGAGCCACCAGGGACCAAATGATCTCTTATATCTAACAAGAGCGCTATTCAGACTGCCGTTTTAAGCCGCAATATGTACGTCCTTGTGACGTTTGGCCTTCATTCTGAATGTTGCGGAGGCATGATGGGGAATAAAGCGATCCCACCTCTGTACCGTCTTCAGAGGTAGTAACAGAGGCGAGACTGTTTCAGCGGAGCCAGCCGTGTGTGTGTGCATGTCTGGCCGTGTGTCTATGGGGAGCAGGGTAATTGAGGGCAATTGTTTCATGTATCAACTGTGTATGATGATTGTGAGCTATTGATATTAAATATACAGTTCTACTCATTCATTCAATTATTAATTATTCCATGAATTTACTTGTTTATTCTTCACATGATATTTGTACACAAGTATGTTCGGTATAAAAATACCTTTCCCCTTTTCATAGCGTTGTAGACTTCTTTGTACTGCTGGAACTTTTCCAGCTCTGCCTTAACCAGCACCTGTCTTATGTGCATCACCTCGTCCACCGTCAGAGACAGACACTCGACAGGGAAACAAAATTCCTCCTGTAATGACAAAAAATACGTAGACAGAAATTCAGTGGTGAGTGATCCTAGCAGTAGCACTTAAAGTTTAGAACAAACGTTCAGTATAACAATATCCATCCATTTTCACCCTTCAAAGCAACCAGGGTTTACAGAGTACATTTAGGCCATAAATATGTACTCTTTCTTCACTGAAAACCAAAGGCAGATTCAGATGCATTGCTAACTCAAATAGGGAGAATACATTATTACGATTACTATGTAGGGAAACATAGATTTTGTTAATAGACAAGATGTAATTTCTTGTTTTCTGTTGCATTTTAGCAACAGAAAACCATTTACAAAGCCTCTGTGCCCCTTTACCATGATTCAAAAACCTGCATCACTTGTTTGAAAGTTTGGCATGCTGTGGGAGACGAAGGAATGCAAACTAGGAGCTGTGAAAATCTCCACTACGGTGTCTCAGGGAGAGCTGATGGAGGAGCTCAAGTGCTAATTGAGGTATGTGATGATAGATGCATGAATCTTTGTTCAGAGTTCTCTCTTTTTACGATAGGGAAACACATGAAACTTGGTTTAAAGTAAAAACGTTGTTCAATTATGAATGTATTTCTGAGACAAACAAGAAGGTTTTATATAATCAAGTTGTTGCATAAACTGATTATGTTGATGGCTATTGCATCCCACTCGTAGTATAGGTACTTCTAATGGAGAATAATGTCTGATAAAAAGTTGAAAATGGCGCTGGCGTTGTCAGCCGTTGGTCTTTTATTAGTGGAACAAGAATAGAAGAGGCGCTTCCCCATTTCTTCTCGTGCACTGGCTCTCCTGTTTCGCTTAGCTGAACAGCCAATCAGAGAGATTCCTACCCCCAACCGCAGCGACGACGGCTCACACTGATTCAACATGTGGAATCGGCCAAAAAAAAAGGCCAACTGTGGCCGACAGGTAGCGGCGGAGCAGGACACACCGCAAAAACTAGGGCGACGACCGCTCACCGACGGCTGACGGTCTCCTGGGTGTGTCAGGGCCTTTAGTCCCAGCATGCCATGCAGCACCTCACAGCTAGGTGTGAAGTGTAAGGGGAACCTGGACTCAAGTCCCCCATTGGAGCAGATCTGGGGGATAACAGCAGGGAGTGCCAGGCTATAAAAGCTCAATTCTCCCATTGTTCATTCTCTCTCATATGTGGTCTTCCTACATTGGAGGACATCGCTCTCATGTACTGCCTTCCAGCATTAGAGGACACATCTGACTCATCGCTGATTAACATTCAACCGATTGAAGATCAACCCAACTTTGCAACGATCACCAGAAGTGATCCCATGTAAGAGGCTTTTGTCTGGGCAGAAAAAGCTTTAGGAAGTGTTTCAGTACCTTTCTTCTGCTAAGGGGTAAACAGTTTGTGAAAAGATGTCAGACTAACCAGGGATTTGGAGTTCTGTTTGGAGGGCGGCTGAAAATGTCGAACATCGGTGGGAGTTTCCTTCTCAATGGAATGTCTTCTCTGTTGGGTCTGACGCCTTTCTGGCTGGGGAGTGGAGGAGATGGGCAGGAACATGGGGGGAGCTAGTGTTCAAAAGGAGAGAAGAAAGTTAAGAGAGAAAAACCAAGGCTGCTTGACTGAAAATATTTAACTGATCAGTCAATTCAGCGATCAAGCAATTCATACTTTAAACAGCAACAACGACAGCAAAATCTCAGGACACAATGACTGCATATCCATAACTTTGAATCCTTAAGCTTTGTCAGTGTTGGGCAGTACAAAAAGTGGTTTTAGTAATTTAACTACAAATATTTTGAAGATTGTTGGTAGCATTGATGTTTTCTGAATCAAATAACTTTTCAGTAGCTTAGCTGTTTTATTGATCAAGTAGTGTGGTAGTGTCCAAAAAGGTACATTTTCACAAAGTGAAAGTGCAGCACGGTCTGAAATCAAACTTCTAAGGATGAGTTGAAAATGCCAGCCAATACACATATGCCTATCTGTAGTGGATATTCTTCCGTATGACGGTGACTTCGCTGTCTAATCATTGATGCCAACGACTTTCCGGGAGATAGTGCCAGCAGGTGAGCACCCACTGCAGGGGATTCCTTAAATAAGCTCAGATGACCAACCACTGAAGTTTACCATCACCAGTGCAGTCTGCAAACACCAGCTAACAAATTGTAAACAGCTTACTTCAAAACATACAGGACGGAATAGATTGCGCAATAAATAACACAGTAGTAGTAGAAGGAGTAGTTGTTAGATATTAGAGTAGAGTATTATTGGACAAGTTGAGCCTGTGGAGAAAGTTGAGCCATCTCCTGTTTCTAGACTGTGCATGTTCATTGTTAATTTACCATTCTTTAAGAGAGCACAAATTAATTATATCTGGCTGCAGTGGAGAGAGACACATGGGAGAAGTGCTTAGTGTTACTGACACACAAGTTTCACAGAAACTTTTCAGCATTTTAAATGATTTATATTTTAAAACAAATTTATCTTGATCAATTACAACAGTTGTTCATCTACCACTGTCATAGGGTATTGAGGTACATTTACAGTATCCGGTCTAAGTTATTTGCTTGAAATGTATGTAGATAAAGAACAGATTAGAACAGAGCAGTCCTACTAAGTATATAAAAATAAATAGCCTTCTTTTTATTTTGAAATAAAGTAAGACGTTCTGGTAGATTGAGGTTTACGACATTAACTTAACAACCGAAAAAGGAACTCATTACGGATCAAAAACAAAATGCATGCAAAAATGAATATCAGACCAAATGTGATCTGTTATACTGTCACCATTAATTATGTCAGCCTGGGACACCTATCGAGTAGCGTTGTGAGATGAGGATAGGAGTAGATGAAGCTGTAAAAGAGATAGATAAGAACAAAATGCTGACTTACTCTTCTTCCCCAGTACAGATTCTGGGGATGTGTCATCCATCATGGATGTTGCAACGCTGGAGCTGCTGGCTGAGCGCTGCCCAACCATCTCATCCTGGGTGAATAAAATAAACAAATAATTCAGGAGTTATTTGGTCCACTCATGCGAGATGTAATTCTTAAAGTTTAAAACACAAATTCATACTGACATCAGAGTCAGAGCTGTCCAGGTCAGCAAGACATGGAGCCTTAAGGAGCCTCTTCCTCTGAGGTACAGACTGAGATCCGGAGGGTTCAACCCTGACAGATGTTGATGCATCACTCAGAGACAGCGAGCTGGACACCCGCCTGACCATGTATGGACTAAAGTTATCTATAAAGAGCCAAACAAAAGTAGGGACCTTTACGATAAATATCAAAACATTTCCAACCCATGGTTTTGGGTTATGCATTTATAACAGTCCTGCACCACCAAATTGGGAAAGAAACAGTTTTCATATCACAATGTGTTTGAGACCAGCCATTATAACACATTATAACACAGATAATAAGAGGCTGAACAGCCTATACAAAGGAGGTTTGAGAGCTATATAAGGGTTACACTGGACAGAAGAGATTAGTTAAGTTGGTCAAAGAGGAAGCAGAGAAGCAGACTGGGGGTGCTCACAGAGAAAGGATGTCTCTCTCATTAAGTGTATAATTCCTGAAATACCAACATTTGATTCATTTCTGTTGAAAGCCTTTATAGTACACGATTGGGTGACCTACATTCTTGAAACCAAATGCCCAAATTACCCCAAATGTATTTACCCCAGAGTGAGCTGGTTTTTGAGAATGCAGCAGGATACTGTATTCTCTTCTTGTAGCAGGATACCAGCTGATAAATACATTCTTAATGGAAAAGAGGGATCTTAGAGTGAGAAAAAGAGAGCAGGAAAAGGGGAGAAAGGATGCAGCAAAAGATTAAATGACTGATTAAATCTGTACGAGCCCTGAAAACAGTTTTATCCTGTTTGTGCGGGAAAAAAAAAAAAATCCTATTGTTTCTTTTTATGAACAAGAAGGCAAGAGTGGGGACTTTCCACTATTTGATTGCGGATGTCATCTCTGACAAAATAAACATAATTGCAGCTAAAATGGCCCGCAAAATATAACCTGGGGACTGTTAATATACCTGAGTGTGACGCCTAGGATAAGTTTATGTGTGGGAGTTTAACATTCCCAGGAGACTGTATTACTAGCCTTTAGACATTCATAACACAGTCAGCCATATTTGTACTATCTACCTATGTCTTAAAATTCTCGGAGGTGATATTAGTTGAGAATCAGGGATGCAGAAAGACAGCGTTTTTAGGTTAGGTGGGAAAAAGGCCTTCCAAAACCCAACAATGCTCATACTTTACCTAATCCAACACGGAACAAATCCTTTGGGGTACTGCGAGTTTTGCCAAAACCTAAAAGGGAAAACCTCTTACATTAGGATAGCGAGAACAATATTCCACCATATTGTGTGTCAGCTGTTAAACTTCAACTACATAAAACAATTAATGCATTTGTTTTGTTACATTGAAGGTAAGATTGTTTGTTCACTTTCTTAGTGGAACTGTCCTATTTCAACCCGGTTTGTTCATATGTGGATCCACATGGCTTTATCTAGTTGTTCATGTCCGATAGTAGTGTCTAATTTCAAAGGCTACTCATCGGTTTTGAGGCATTTTTTTCAAACATCTAACATTTGATAATAAACTTTAGCATCACCTTTTTAAACGAGTAGTGAAACATTTAAATGGAATTAATACTACTGTTGGCTTTCCTGTTGAAAATGATTTGCTTTTTGCAGACTTTGCAAGGCCAACTTGATCAATTTCTTTTCTGCAGCCATTCCTGTGGGATTTTCCTGTAGTCCAACATTTTTTTGTATACATATGCCTGCAAACCTCAACACATTTTTTTTACCTCAACACAATTCTGCACATATAACCACATGCAAGCACTAACAAACATAAATCTACACACACTATGTGTGTATCTTTTTTTAAATAAATCGCTTTATCCAACAATGACTATGGTACGCTACTACACACTACTGGATGATAACGGAACAACATCATATTCACATTACCGAATCCCACTTTATAGTTTAGCTATATTCTTAAACATGTAACACAATATAAACATTTACTTGTTTTCTATTTTCTATTATCTAGCGTTCAAAAGATACAAGGGTAATCATTTTGTTATTTCTGCTGGAGCTACAATACAGTGTGACAGTGCCACATAATGTTTAAGTGTCCGTAAAAAAGGATGAGTTATCGCTTGCATTTCAAAGAAAAAACAAAGAGTAGGCCTATTGTTATTGAAACATGTGTATGCGATAAGTAGCCTATGTGAACAAAAATATTCCACTGTTGTAAAAAATGTTATGTGTGGGTTACAACCGGTATGATTATGAATATGGCCGAGGTTATAAATGCAGGATGTGGCGCAGGGGAAAGGAAGGAGTGCCGAGGGAAAAATAAACGAAAAGTGTAACGCCAGTGAAAAGTTTCTGCAGCTGCAGTTATTGTGAACGTCTGTGTGGTGAACAAGTGTTGTAAAACAAGAAAAGAGCGCTGAACGGCTGTGAAAGTGTCTGAAAGAAAGACCAAAGATTCCCTTCCGCGTCTCCTCTCTTGCTACTGGATAAGCATGGTCAGGTCTGCAACAAAGACGGTTCCGACTGACTGAGTCATCCTCTGGATTCCTGGTGAGATGTTGTTGTTTTTTTCTGCTGCTTTTTCTTTCTGGTATACCAGCGATCGATTGACCTTTTTTGTTGTTGGATTACTTTGGTTACTTTTTTGGGACAAACCGATTTTTTTTTTTGGATGAGCGGATGTCATTGAACATGCCACTACACCTAAGTTATTTAATCGGGTAATTTGTAGTGCAAGTTAGGCAGGCAGGTACACATTTGAGGGACTGGTGTGCAGTAATTTAGAATGGTTTCAAAAACACACACACACACACACACACGCAGGTGAGCTAATGTAGATTAAGACATGGATAGATATTGAGGGTTTTTCTGGTGTAAAAAGGATAAAAGTACACAACACTGACAGGTAAAATATTGTTGTGGTCACCACAGCCATCCTGTCCAGTAAACACCATCCTAGAAAGGAAACCATCCCTTTCCTCAAAGCTGGGGAGAAGCCCCCTTTCTGACCACAGACAAAACTATGCCGACTGTCCACAGCACCAGCTGAGTGTGGATCTTATAAAAGAACTCAAGGTCCCTGATCACATCATGCACACGAAATCAGCCCAGACTTGATCATCTTCTCAGACTCCACCAAACAGGTGATCATGTGGGAGCTGCCCTGGGAAGATCACATGGAGGAGGATTAGGAGACAAAGTTTGCCAATAACCCTGGCAGCGGAGTTCTGCACGTACTGGAGTCTGTTCAGGGCAGAACTCCATTACAATAGTCCAGCCGGAAGTGATGAATGCGCTCACACTGCTCCAGGACAAATCGGGCCTCAGCACGGTTACCTATTGTACATAATGTCGTCATACAGCACATTATGTTATCATGAAGCGTGCTCAGTTTACAACATGGACTCGAGAGAAGGAAAAAAAAGGGGACGCGCAATCGAGTCCACATCCGCACATCGGATAACACGGAGAACATGACAGCTACTTTATGGCTTATTTTGAGTCATGTTAATTAGATACAGCCAGAACACCCAAAGGCTCTAGGTACTTTAGGGGTGAAGAGTGCTTAGGCACGGTACAGATCGCCAGTGTGATTGCGCCCTTACCTGCATTTTGTAAAGTGTCTTGAGATAACACTTGTTATGAATTGGCGCAATACAAATAAAGATTGATTGATAAATCATTGATTGTTTTGTCTTGATTTGTTTTAATGGGCATAAGGGGTCCTGTGAATGTGTCCTCAAATAGGTTGCCAGCAGCATTAAAATGTTCATTAAAGGCTGCACAGATCTCTTTGTGGTTGGTTTTTAATGTTCAGTCGACTGAAGTGAGTGCGGGGTAATCAGGTGGAGACTTTCGATAAAGATAATTTTTGCTCTCCATGATTATGAAGGATTTGGATGAGAGTTGGGAATGCAAATAAATTAGTTTTAGCCTTCCTTATTGTGGCAGTACATTTGTTTTTCAAAGCTGAGAACCAGAGAGTGGACACAATTAATATGATTATACACATTCTTTTTAATTGTATTTGTTTACTGATACTAAACACAATTGTTTAATAATATATTTTTCTATAAGAATGAAGCTGTATTTTCCTACCCAACTTCCACTTGCGGATCTCATCAGGCGATACCGGTCTTAGTTTTCTCTCTGCCTTGATTTCCTCCAGGATCCGCTCGTGCAGTGTTGGAGGAGGCTGACTCTGTGGCTTCAATTTACGAGCTGAGACCTACCGCAAGTTGAGGATAGTTGATATTTGATGGTCAAGGGAAAATAATGACAAGAAAGAAAGTTGAGAGTTGAGAGAATACAAATTACTGATTGTTATAGCCAACAGGTTTTTTCACCTGGTCATATAACTGAATGCGCACCTCATCTAGAGTCCCCTGCTTTAACAGGGCTAGTTCTTCAATAAACTTTGCATCAGAGAAGCATTTCACTGAATTCACAGCTTAGTGAAACTGCTGTGTTACAAGGCTCAAGGCTATAAAAGGTTTGAAGACTGTCCTTGGTCTCTTCTCATTAATGCACATTTTAAGAATGAGGCTAACAGATGTGTTGTGATGTTTAACTCCATGTTCTCAGTTGTACTTACAGGGTTGAGAGGGGGTCTGGACCTGATGAAATCGAGAATGACTTCGTGAGCGCTCCTCTTTAACCTCGGAGGGATGTCTCCATTTACCTGAAACAGAAGAACAGGAAAACGATATCTAAAAGGTTTTCATAGACATAAAGGTATAAAAGAACAGTTGAGATGATGATTATTCATTTTATTTTTGGATTGAGATAGTGAGGAATGATATGCGGGAAAGAAGCCACAGGGTGGATCGAACCCGGGCCGCCCCCTTGGAGGACTGCAGCCACTGTACATGTAAACCATCTACTAGCCCACCGGCGCCCCGAGATGATTAAAGTGAAGAAGGTGGAAAAATTGTCTATTGTGGGAGTACGAATTTCTACACAATAAACTGTATGTCCGAGGGTCAATTGAAAAGGGGCAGGGGCATAACTAGACCCTTAGTGCAGCTGGGGTGGTACATTCTTGAGGGGTCCTGCTGAGGCACTGTGTCAGGCTCAGCAACTGTCAACAACAAAGGGAATAGGTTGCCAATCACTTTAAAAATGTCTGGCACCAAGATCAGACACAGCAGTTTTTAGCCCTAAATGAACGCATACGAGCTCATTTAAATACCGGAGTACCGAGACCCTTTTCTTTTTTTTTCTCTATCGCAATCAAGGGTGCATTAAACCCTTTGAGTCTGCTTTCTGAAGTTTACACTTTATTTTGTATCTTATTTGCACAGGATTTTGAATGCTCCTTTTGTATAACAAGCCCTGAAGACGATAGTGTGTGGCATCGTATACACGCAGACCTCTCCATTCTGGGTGCAGAGTACATTGCACAGCTGATTAGAAATGTTATAAAAAGATTCCCCTCTGTGAATTTGTGCATTTTCACTGATTTTGATACAGATTTTGATACTTTGCTATCCAGGTGCTGACAGTGCATAGGAGCTATGGAGTGCGTCTGTGAACATACAGGTTGGTCACACTGAAGCTCCTTTGGTGCTCAATTGTCTTTTGGTATTCTCAGCTGTCACTGCAGAAAAATCATATTCTCAATGTGGGGTTGACATGAAAATTGACCACAGGGTCCATGTCTGATATCTTTTCTCTTTATGCTGTTACAAATGCATTATATGTATCTACAATGCTATTTGTTATTGAGTTGTTTTGATAATTAAATGGTATTAAATAGGTCATGTCTCTACATCTTTAGAAAATAACAATCAAAACAATGTCCATCAAAATAATAGACACAAAGTCGAACACAATCGCTGCCACAGACTGTACAAATGTCAAGTAACAATATGCTGTAAACATTGAGATTTGACTGATTTAATATTAATCAAACTTTTATAATGACTATGAATTTAACTCCTCAACTGCTCTGTCAGCTGCTTCAGCTAAAAATCTCTGCCTTCACATCAAGTACCATTCGATAAATAACTTTAACAATCTGTTTCTGTTTTTGGGTCCCAGATCTGAACAATCTTACAGCAACTATGCAAGAACAAAAGGTGTGAATGTGGCATAGATTTCGATGTAAAGATCACATGTGACACTCACCATGACTTTCCGCAGTTTGAAGCGTTTCGCCCTTATGTCATCCATTAGCATCTCATAGGGAGTTAGCTGGTACTCGATGGGCAGCGGATTGTATTGACGCTCCTGGACTTTCTTCAGCTTGACTCCCTCACGCAGGTCCCTCATCACCTGAACCCAAAATCCAGCCTGACAGAGAAGCAAAGGCCAGATTGGAAAGTAGGGAAGTGGAAAATACTATGACCATTTACATTTATCTGGACACTAGCAATGATGCTCTGACCTAGTAAACAGAGTAAAGGTGGGTGGTTCAATGTATCAGTACGGTTCCTGAGAGCTTAACTTATGGCAACTTTATTATATCACATAGAGAATACTGTTTTATATGATGATATGCATCATAGTATGAGAATACATTTATGAGTCTGTTTGTATTTTTTTAACGGAATATATGTACTGTTTGAATGTATATCTGTGTTTGTGTGCATGTGTGTGTACAGTATGAGTATATGTGTATCAAATGTATGTTATATCACTTAACGGTCATCATTAAAAACTTTAAAAAATTGTGTTTTTTCATGCCTTACTTTCTTTATCGTTTCGTGATTTTCTCCAATTCTATTCATCTCTCTTCTCCTCTCCTTTAAAAATACTATCTCTACTTATCCAACCTTGTCTTACACGTCCAAAAATCAATATTATGGTTTGTCTGTCTGTCAGTGTATTATTGTCTAGCTTTTTTTATTTCACTAAATGTCATGGTGTCTCATCAATGTTAAATGGGGGTTGTTATTGATCCAGATAAACTAAAGTTGAATTATCAGTTAAGGCAGGGGTCAAACACCAAGAGTAAAGTTGCCTACCCAATCAGCGTTCTGCAGCTCATTCAGGTCTTGACTGGAGTCCACTGATGTCTGTTCTTCCATCATACGAAGGTTCTGGTGAAAGAGAGAGGCAGAGCGAGAATATCAAATACTATATCAGAAAGGCAGTGTAAGAATTTATGAAAGAAAGAAGCTTCAGGGAAACCAGATTCTTTTTCAATATGCAGATAATTGCCATTAAAATCTTATTTAAAAGTTAAAATGAGCTCATAAGAGCTTTTAAATGTGATGCACGTGAAAACAGAAGAATGATAGCTCATAAAAATAAGTGTTTTATCAAAAGATTAAAGACTATCATTAGACTGTCAAAGACTATCATCAAGCCTACAAATACTGCAACTCTATAATGCTTAATTTACACATTTAGCCGTTAGTGTATTAATGTTGTCAAATGATTGGTCATATGGTCCACAGTGAAATGTCAACTGGATACATAGCAATGAAAATTGAAAGCAGTATTCATGTTTCTTCAGCTCTCTACAGCTGTCCTATCTAATAAAGACAAAGAAATTGCCCGAAAAATATAACTTATAGACCCTAAGTGCTGCAGCATGCATGGGCAAGTGTCACTGCTATACCTTATACCTGACACAATGGACATTTTCACACCCAATGCCCACCATGTAAAGACAGTAAATGAACTTGTGCCCATGGTTTACAGTAAAGTACTTAGTTTTACACCAAGGTTAACATAGCTAGAATCACAAAATACTGTCCATAAATTGCACAGAAAAATAGCACCTACTCTTTGGCACTCTTAATCTTCACCAGGAAAGTGTGCAACTCCATGGTTTCTGTGTACAGAGCCCGACAAACAGCCTGGTAGTGACTGGGGGCGTTTGATAGCCTTGGTAGATGAGTTTTGCACAGCTACAAGGGAGAAAGGGAAGCACAGAAAACATAAAGAGTTTAAATTTACAATTTATATTTCTTGCATGGCCTTGGGGTGAACTAATGTGAGAAAGCAACAGGAAATATCCAGTAAAAATGAAACGCAAGCAGGAGCCGGTGGTGACGTTTATTTCCTGCGACTCCACCCAACCATTCCACCTCTGTGCATTTTATACTGCAGACAAGCTGTGGCAAAACTGTCCTGCATGAACTGGCAGTCTATTAGGGGCTAAATAATCCAAACGTCTGCATCACAGTTTAGTATCCTATGATGTGTTTTAAAGTCTAATGAAAGTGAATGTGGTTAAGTTTTAATATGCTTAGAAGCAGATAATTGAGATCACCCCCCATGACCCTCTGTGGGGTATATCGGGTATATTCTGGGGATCATCATCATTACACTATTTCTCAAGTGGGAGCTACAAATCAGCCCCCTTATTGAAAAAGGACAGCAGCGGATGTACTTCCTGAGGCAGCTGAATAAATTCAACCTGCCAAAGGCAATCATGGTACACTCTTCATCATTGAGTCCATCCTCAACTCTTCCATCACAGTCTGGTATCCTGAGGCCACTGCTAAGGACAAGGGCATGCTGCAGTGTATCTGCCATCTTTCCAAAAGCTGCAGGAAAAATTGTGGATGAACCCTCTCATCTTGTACTCAAAGTCTTTGGGCCTTACTTTATAGGGGTCATTTTATGCCCTTTTATGGGTTCATATATTTAATTTATGTGCCTACTAAAGTACGTTCACAATCGCTAATGTCCGAAAAACGTGTCTGTTTTCATGTGCTGCTCCTCCTTGCTCCCTCTCAGCTCTGACACTGTCACAACAATGGCAGCGGCTTTCAACTTTACCAATCTGACAACGGAGAGGAGAAACAACCACCACAATCGTGAGCATTAGCACGACGTTTCAGTGTTGCAGGTATTTATTTTGCAGCCTTTTCAGATGTAATATGTGTGTAATTTGTGCTCATCGGGTAGCTCCATTGTTGTGATGTGTTGGTGAATGTGTGGAAACTGCAGCTAACTGCCTACCGAAGCAGAAAAGGTGTGATGCAGAATACTATAACCGGGATATGTTAAGTGTGTATCAAGTCTTTTTATCATAAAAAACACTCACCGTTATTGTGTTGAAAAATACCTTAGCATCTTAAAATTTCCCTGACTGGAGCTAACCTGTATACTTCCAGAATCAGTAGATATCTTACTCACGGCTTCACAAAGTTTGGCTTGATTACAATATATTTATTGGCCACAAATGTGTTCTGTACAGTACAGTTTTTTACATTTACATTAGTACTGTTTTTTGTTTATTGCAGCCACTCACCTTGTTCTGGATTATAAATCACATCCTTGCTGTGATTCAAAATTCAATGAGCAATTGTAAGTATCAATGACATCATAGTTACTTTTACTACAAAAGCCCAGGTAATCCTGTTTCTTGGATCAATATCTCATGCAATAATGTTTCCTCCTCTGTCATTATTTTCCTTCTTGTTGAACATTATTTCATTTTAATCAGTGCTACAGATAATGGATGGATTGATGGATGGATGATTATGAATGAAGAAAGATGTTTTTGGTTAAAACAAACGTTTTAGGATTCCTTATCTGAAAACGAATGATACTCTAATACCTTGAACAGTTCTCAGCACATCTAGGCTGAAAGTGGTGCCTCTGGCTGCTTGAAAATAGGATTAGAAAAGACTAAATGGAGCCCTGCGTTAGTTCAGGCGGAAAATGGAAGTCATACCCCCAAGCGGCTATCAGCTGATCTGAGAACCGCCCAAATGCAACCAAATCATAATCACACTCTGACAACAAGGCAGTCTATTTAAACCATTCTGCCTGTCACTCTTCCTGCCTCGCATCCACTCTGCTGCTAGACACTGCTGTGAAATTTTCCCTCCACCACCCCAACCTCCACCAGCTTCAGTCAGCGCCTTTTATATTCTGGGATGAATTGTTTGCTTGTTATATCTGCAAGATGTAAGTATCAAATGTCATGATACAAGCACACCCTTTGTCATCACACACTGTTGTTTCCTCCATGGTGATATATAAAAATATGTCTGAGTGCAGTTTATAACATTTGGTGTGCCAAAGATCTACCTGATAAAAGGAAGCAATGTGTTTTAACCTCCAGCAATTGCTTAAGTGTTTTTTTTTGCAGTTAATACCTTGAGGATATCTCTGTAGCAATGAATACTGGAGAGGTCGTCAGGGCTATCCTCTGCCTCATCCTCTTCCTCTGTGGCTTCATAGCCTTCATCTGGGCAGGCGTCCCTCTCAGCTTCGGTAATGTTGGTCATGAGGTTGATAAGCTGCTCCAAAGGAGGACTGAGCTCCCTCTCCTCATTTTCTTTTAGCCCGTAATCCAGGGCTTTGTAGATCATGATGCCCAGTGACTCTATCACCTGAAAAATCATAGGAGACAATTCTACATTATTTTTTTTTACCTCCTCAAAGCAATACCACATTCTTCTTTCTTTCAAGTTAAAAAAAACATATTTACAAGTTTTTTTTTTTTAACAATGGGAGTGACCACCCTCAGCTCGCCAGCCCCATTGAACCCGTCAGGTTTTGACCTTCAGTAGGCCTGCTGCCATTCACACTAGGTTGGGCTGGACACTGCAGGGCGCAGATAGTGTAGTCTGTCACCTCATCCGACCACAGCAGTGTCTATTCACCACAGTAGCGCCCAGTGATTAGTGAGCTGATGAAACACGTTGCGAGACTATGGCAGGTCGATACGGTTCCATTCAGAAGTGAGAAAGTGGACTCCCGACTGAACGGAGGATTTTGCACTTCAACATTGGCTTCATTTTTCAAGACCATGGTTGTCGCTTAAGCAAAAATCAAGCAGCGCAGATTCAAGCAGGAACAGCACATTTATGAAGTTGTAGAGACAGATATTAGAGGTTCTGGTTGTCAAGTGTGTAAATAAACATTTGTGAATATTTCTTCTGTGACTTCAAATTCAGAACACAAGTCTGTGAATATTTTCTTTGAGTGAGTACTGGCTGAAATTAGCATATCAAGTAACAACCGGTATTGGCTAATTATATCGCAGATACAGTAATACTAGATTTATTCACCAGTCAAATACAATTTAATTTGAGTATCATTGTATTACATTAGCAGTTCTCTTTCACCAGCAGAGTGTTCTCTGTGGATTACAACAAACATTATCATTATCCAGAGCGTCAAGCGGTGATGCACGTACATGTGCAGTTACTTCCCAGGTGACTGATCATCTCTTCCTTTTGTGCAGTGTTACACAACTGCAAATGCAATAAATGTGTGTTTATTTAATCTTTCTATCTCTACAGAACAAACATAGATCTAAGAAAGATATAGGCCGATACATCGATATAAAAATGTTTTTCTCTCCCCAATATCGATATCGGTATCGGCCCTAAAAATATCGGTCAGGTCCTTTTTTAGATGATATCATACTAGGTGCACTATTGTATCCATTGGGAAAGTATTGAGACTGTATTTTCTAAAGGGGGAATTAGATGTGTTTTCCTTTATCTGAAAATATGTTTTTATGTTTTTTTTCCAGAGTTCACCATCAGCAGGTGATATTTTAAACAATTATATGTTTAAACTGTCATACATTGCAGCTACTTACCTCTGTTGTCGTGCAAGGGCTGGATTTACCTGCAGGAAAGAAGAAAGCATTGTTGTTATAAGCAGTATTTGAAACTGTCACTGTTAAATGACTGTGTAAAATACAGTTTTGTAAACTGACAGGGCAGATGATGATACTATTATCCACAAATGTCATATCACGCATCAGCTTTGTTTCAAATATGATATAAATGTCATGAGATATCTGCGTTGTCTATGGATCCACTTAAACACTGCAGAAAGAAACTAATGGACTATTACAGTCTTTTATGTATTCCAAACACATTTTGAATCAAAATCACACAAGTCTGTTTCTGCTAAACATGTTTGTTTTTTAAAAGTACATTTTTTCCTTGCCATTATCAATTGCTTAAATATGGTGGATTAGCTTAACAAATCTATTTTATAGTGGGAACATTTCATGGTGTTTGGTCAGGAATAAATTGACTAAAAGAATCATTCAGAAAATTACAATATTTTAATTTGAATGCTGACATTTAACTTTTTTTCTTTCCAGGCTAGGTAAGCTAAGCTTTACCTTTGCAAACAAACAAATTGCCTGTTCACAAATAGTCACTTTAACAAACGGCCTTTTTCTTTTTTAACAACAAGTAATGCAAAAAACAACAGCTCTGACATAATCTATTTACCATAACTTGCCATGATAAGACTGCTACATCTACAATATGTTGAGCACTTAGCAGTGGGAAGTGTGCCTTTTGTTTTTACTGCAAACAAAGTGAGCTAAATAGTCAAATGTGCTTTCTTAATAAAACTTTGGAAGGGAACCATTATGGTATTAGTGACAGGATTCAATTGATTAAGTCTCTATATTAGGTGCAAACATTTAGCAAGGTAAATAGTGTCCGGCTTTCCTGATGTGTTCCAATATAACAAAGTGTCAGGGCCCTGAGATAAACTCTTGAATAAACACATTAGCTGTAGATTTCAGTTATAAAAGGGTTACAATCTAACTTTCTGGCTTAAATCTGAAGTAACTGTAGCAACACATAGACGCTCAAGTATCGTCTATGTGTGGGAAACTCTGATAGATGTATACATACATGCATATAAATCCAGATCATATACATGTCGTAAATAAGAAAGGCTGAGAAGAACTGAGAAGAGGGGGCCACAGTCCCCGGGGAGTCAGGCAAGAGGCCTTTCCCAAATTTCCCCTCTGGGGATCAATAAAGTACTATCCTATCCTATTCTTGAAAGCTAGAAAAAGCTGCATTCATTTCAGTTGGAGTAGTAACAACATCACCCCCTGTTGACTGTATTTCTGAAATGCCTTTTGCTCATTAAAGTGGAGACAGAGAGTAAGCCGATATGAGGGCCTGCTACCATTAAAGTAATGATGTTCTCTAAATGTTTTAATTAGGAACTCAGCCTTTACTCGCACATTTTTCACCAGGTTGAGCTCAGCCGCTTGTGAGAAGCAAAAGGAGTTTTCTCCAGAGAAGCCAGTCGTCTCCCTATTTCAAACGTCCTCTGACGAGAGCGGTTTAGAAAGGAAACAAATTTTGTCACATTATTTTTTTAGGAAACCTTTAATTGCGTCCCAGATGTACCTAAATCTTCCACTGATTCCACATTTAGAGAGATTAATTCATGTAAATTAGATTTAAATTGAAAACAAAGTATTTATTTGCTGTAAATTTACATGCAGTGTGAAGATACGAGCCAACGAAAGATCGCTAGCATGTAAAACCAGTGCAGCAAGCACAGCTTTTTTTTTTTTTTAGAGCGGTAGCTCGGAGTGCCTGGTTAATATTTGCCAACAGATGGATTTCTGTAAACTAAATCAAACATTAAGTTACTCCTAAAATATATACCACTAACCAGGCCGCCAGTTGATGATCAATGCTAGTCTAGAGTAAAAGCAGTCACAAAGTGCCACCTACTGGCCTGAGAAGGATAATCCAGAGAATTCAAATTAAATAATAATTATATATACATTTGTGCAGCACATAATATGACATTATCATACAGAATGACTTTTCTCAACTGAAAATAGTCAACATGTCGGAGAGAGCGCTAAGGGAGACATATGCACACAGTGATTCTACATACTTATCTCCATTTAATTTTGAGCGATTATTGTCGATCAATCAATCATTATTTGATGATTGCGGCATCAAAGGCGTCTATCGTATCGAGCATATGCCTTGCGTGGCGTATATCATACAGAGGATGATCACAGTCAGCTCTCCATGACGACAGTATTGTTTGTGCTTTAGCCAAGTGCCGTAAAATCATCTGACATTTCAAACACAGTCCTGCTAACACAGCAGACTGTTTTCTTCAGCAGGTCACATTGTGCAGAAGAAGAGGTCAGCTCTATTGTCAGCAAATGTCATTAAGCTAGTCTGCCTGAGGAACTGGTTAAAAGAAAAGTAGACAGTATAAAGACTGGTTTGTGTGTTCCACCAATTACACTGTTTGAAGAAATGTTCTTTAACCAAGAGTGTTGAAATTGTTCATGTCTCTTCAAAGAAACTGGCTTCAGTGTGCCTACTTATTGTAGCATGCTTTTGGGTTCATGTTACTTTGCAAAACAATTATGTTTACCTTCAACTTAAACAGACTTACTTCAACAATTTAGTTCTGCTAATTAAGTCTAGGGTTCATATTAATGTTGTGGGTAATTCCAAGCACTCCATTAGACTTTTTTAGTCAGAAAACAAGTGGATTGTTATAATATTTAACATTTGTTAATTATAAGATGAGATTTTTCAAATAACATTGAAGAAACTGCTCTGATCAGATGGTTATGGATTTTTCTTTCCAACATAATGAATGTATTTAACACCTACCCCGAAAATACTAGTAAATAAACATATTCATGTTTCTTCTATATTTATTCTTGTTCTGAATCCACTCTGATCCTGTATTTGATCATGCCTATAAACCCCTCTATTTCAGCCCTGCTCAGAACAGGCTGTTTCTGTGTCTGTACCTTTAAATATGTAAATGAGCTGTGTCTGGCCACGCCCCCTCTCTGGAAGGGGATGTGGCTTAAGGTTCGTGCCCCATTGTTACGTTGAGAAGGCAGACTCAGAGGGCAGAACAAACACCTAGCTGTGGGAGTGTCACCCACCTGGGGGAGGGGTTACTGCCCTTTGTGATGTCATGAAGAGCCTGTTTGAGCACACATTTCCGAGAAGTGGAGCAGGCAAAACACGGTGAGGATGGACTTTTCTCATAATTGGGAGGCTTGTAGACAGGCTAGGGACACATACGTTTTCAAACACAAGGCAACACTATCACACAAACAGGCCCCAACTCTCTATTATTTCGGTTGGTCGTTACCAGAAGTGCAAGCAACAACAGGAGAACAGTACGTGAACAAGAACCTGCCATATCAAGGTATTGTTCAGGGGGTGAACCAACTTCGATGACAATATGTGTCAAACATGTTTGCCGTGCACCTTTCAGCCAGTAATCACATCATAGCCTTCTTGATAGGATATGATGGAAAGTTGCAAAGAGACTGAGAGAAACCACATGATCTAGGCTACACACGTGCCTCGGGGGAAGGCAGGGTTATTGGCATGGATGTCATCATAGAAATAGAAGCAGCAGGGGCCTCTAATTTTGTAAATCAATAACCAAGATATGTTTACTGTTGCTGTTGTTGTTTTTTTTGGTGCGGATTAAAGATCAATCTTGAGGTGATCATTGATGAGTAGAAACATACACAACATGCAGACAGTCTGTAGGCTGTATTCCAAAACAGTCTACATTAGTTGATATTTCCTCCTTGAAGGAAATAGGAATGTAGGACTACTCTAGCCTTACATAAGAACAATCACAAGACTGAGCACTTTTTTTTTTAAGCAAGGCTGGCCTGGAAAGAAGCAGTGCAAGGCACTCATGTTTTTTTTTATCCATTTACCTTGACAGCCCTGGTGGTCCACCCTCACAGACCCGTCTCTCTGTATCTTCACATCCCCCGGTCCGGTTATTTTCCACAGAAGTGCGGCTGATGATGCTCCTGCAGCGGTGGAGGAGCTCCTCCTGCCCATGTCTCCCCTCGCCAACGTCCTGCAGCACTGGTAACACACCGCCCATGCCTGCTCCTCATTGATGGGCTGGTTATAAAGCCTCAGTATCTCCCCCAAAGAGAGACACTCCACAGCTGCGTCCTCCGCCGGATTGATTGTGTTTTTGTCTTGCTGCTCATCCCGTTCAACCGATGCAGCACAGTCCTTCAGCCCCTTTGTAGTTCCCTCATCGGTGCTCGGCCATCCTTTCATTCTCTCAACAACGCATTAGGCCAGACTATACGAGAAGAGGTCCAAGCTGAAATGTGAGATGGAACGACAACCCGGAGACATTGTTACATTCCTTCTCCTGCACAAGTACACGCTGGTTATCCGCCCGTTCAAGTGTCACTGCCAGAAGGTTCGTGAATACAGTCTTGTAGTGTGCAGCAGCCTTCTTCTCACATCATCATCATATGACTCGCCCAACCCCGCCTCTTTTATTCCATCTCTCTCTCTCTCTCTCTCTCTCTCTCTCTCTCTCTCTCTCTCTCACTCTACCCCCCCCACACACAAACACGGGGGATTTTGACTTGGTAGGGATCACATTGTCTACAAAGAATTGTATGAATTTAAGGTGGCAAGGATTCTAGAGGAGTCTTCATTTTAATTCCTAAACATTTCAAGTGGCAGCACAATAGTTGATCCTAAAGGTAGATACATTGTCCTTCCCTGGTGAATGAGAAACTCAACCTGGTGACTGTACTTATATGGTCCAAATAAAGATGACCCTGCATTCTTTGATAACTTATTCCTGACCTTATCATCACTCTCAGGTAATTTCATCATAGTAATCCATGAGCAAGACCAGATTTCCCTACCAGTTAAGGTGGCAAACTTGCACTATTATTTGAAACATCCATGTTTGTGGATGATATTTTGGTATGATGGACTTTCCTGAGTGGCAGCTGTGTCACAGCACATTGGTCTATATCCTGGTTTAGGCTCGTGGTCAGGACATTTTTTCTAGCCAAATTGTGAATTACCTTTCTGATTGAGGTAACTGTGGCTTCTCAAATAGTCAATTGCACATTTTTCCACAGTTTTCGCCTTAAATATACTTTTAGCCCTGTGGCATCTATAGGTACATCAGGGACGCACAACACAAAAACTAGAATACTCAAAAGACTCTAGGATTCAGGAAATGCACAATATATCCATACTTAACATTGTGTGATGACATCGTGAGCAATAAATCAGACCGCTGACTGGCAGAAATCTCCCACATTTAATCCCTCATTTCAAGTAATAAGCATGCATTTGATCTTTTTCTAGCCCTGTCACATACCAATTAAAAGCTGCTTGAAACTACTTGAAATGAGAGGTTATATTTGGGAGAATTGTGCCAGTCATTCTTCTGATTTACGGCTCACAATATCATCTTACAATGATAAAGTGTAGATATATTAAGCATTTCCTGAATCCTTAGACTCTTGTGACTATTCCAGTGTCTGTATATTGTGTCCCTAATGTTCCTAGATGCCACAAGGCTAAAGGAGAAAGTATATTTAAGGCGAAGATTGTGGAAAAATGTGTCTCATTGAATATTTGAAGAGCTAAAGTTACCTCAATATTTTTCAGACAGATTCACAATTGGGAGTGAAAGCTATGCATGCCCCCTTTAAAATGATACCAAACACAATATTATTAAACAATGAAAAATGTCCTGACCATGAGCCTAAGCCATATGCACCAGCGTCTAAAATGCATTTCAGTTTGGGGGTTGGTTCACTTCATGAGCTAGTTACTGTGACACAGCTGCCACTCAGGAAAGTCTATCATACCCACATATCATCTCCAGACATGGAAAATTTAAAAAATGTATATTACTTAGTTTTGCTACCTTGAGTGGGACCGACAAATTACATTTTAGGCTCTGGCCCGTTGACTATAGGAGATGATTTCAGCATTTCCCGAGAACCAATTAAAGACAAGTCTACTGGCTGTGATGAATTGCATACTAGAGCCAGGAAAAGTATATTATATTATATTATATGAATGACTCCAAATAGTATAGATTATTCTTGCCACTCTGGCACACAAAAAAGCTATTCAACACATGCTATATAAAATTAAGGCTTGCAAATATTACAGTATATTACTATGGGACAATGCTCCGTTATCTTTTAATTATATCAATACTAAATATACTAAATAAGTAAATAGCCCTCTAAGTTTGCAAATCCATATAAAGTGGCAACAGGATGCAGCCTTTATCAAATTCATTGGGAAACAAATAGACATGATTTTCTAAGTTAATACAACACAGACCTCAGTTTGTACCCAATGGGAAGCTTTTAAAGCCCTCTTAAGAGGAAAAACATATTTCTTCTCCTAAGTTGAAACACACCCGTCAAAAACAATTGGATTCTAAAATGTAAACTCTAGAGAAGGTTGAATGTTTGAACGGCTCAGGAAACTCACATCAGGAACTTTTGTTACTTGATAACAGAATGAGATTGCAGAATGCAACAAAATATCTGTAGAGAGAGCTGTAGATAGCTTGCTGAGACTGAAACAGTCTTTTCATGACTAAGAAGTGAAACCAGAATCAGGCAGATGTCCTCTCTACTGCTGCTCGTCCTTCTGACATTTGGTGGATGTACTCTCTGCTTAACGTCTCTCTATCGGGTTGTCACACAATACAGCTGCTCCACAGATGGTTCCGGCTCAGGCACAATGATTCCTTTTCGTTGAGCCCACCCAGGGACACCACTTGCGAAATAGCTCAAAAGATTACAGAGATTAAAATTATTTGCAAAATATCAGCATGTACATTAGAGCCTGTTCTCCCAGGTAGAATTGAATATTGAATATAGAATTGGATCAAAACTGATTTATTAACAGGAACAAGGTTTTTATTATGTACTTAAGAGTGTTAAATATATTACAAATGAAGAGGGGTGCTCCAGATACAGCTCTCTTTTCAGTCTATGCCTAAAAGGTATTTGATCGAATTGAATGGCCTTTTTTATTTTCAGCTCTAGAACGTTTTGGATTTGGGACTGCTTTCTGTAGATGGATAAAGATGTTATACACTCAAACAATATTATTTCTCAATCTTTCAACATTAATAGAGGTGTTCAATAGAGTTGCCCCATATCACCTCTTTTATTTACATTAGCAATCGGACATTTGCCATGGCAATAGAGCACACAAAAGTGCATCAGGAATCAGGATGGTGATATCTCCAAATGGATGAAAGAACTTCCAAACTCCATTCGATCTGAAGAGTCCCTCTGCACCTTTAAGAAAAAGCTAAAGACCCAGCTCTTTCATGAATACCTACTAACTTAATGATGATGGTCTCCATATTATTGATAATGATGATGGTTGATGATGGTTTTTGTTTGATAATGATGACTTATAAGATGGTTTCTATACTGATTAGAGCTCTCAAGAACTGCCCTCAATGTTGTGCTTTGCCTCTGGTCACTTCCTGTCAGCACCTGTGTGTCCAATCGGACTCAAAGCTGATCGTTTGCTCTTACTGACATTGTTCCCTCTTTTCTAGATCCTTGCTTGTGTTGTTTACTCTCTGATGTACGTCGCTTTGGATAAACGCGTCTGCTAAGTGAATTGTAGAATTGTAGAAAAGTGTTTTCAAAGTTAACTACAGCAAACATTTTCCGTTTAAAAATGACTATGATCACCAATTTAAAAGATGGTCAAAACTGTTGAAAAGTGAACAGTCTTTCGCTGACAATATGAAGGCATTCATTCAAGCAAAATCACATGAGAGGCAGCACCATGTACTGCATATCTGTAGCCTGCTGATGAGATTCAGTCATATGAGAGGCTGCAGGCTATACCACAAATAATCCCAGAATAATCCAGGGTATTCAGTACAACATATCAACCTCATATGGGCTGTTTTTATACAACAGAGATTTAGCATTAATCCACCATGAGCAAAGCACTCTTAGCAAGAAATAGTGGCAAGGAAAAAACTTCCTTTTAATAGGCAGAAGCAGACTCGTTTTATGAAGCAATGTGCTGCTGCTATGTTAACCCTAACCCTTGCAGGAAGAGCTACAGATACAGAACAAGACAAACAACAACGTCATGGTATGTTCTTGTTTCTTTTTTGTGATCAATGTTTTTATTGATTTTCATGTTAAGGCAGCATATACATTTATATTTCCCGTCTGAGGAATCAACATTATGAATTCATCAATCATACACTCTAAAAAAATAAACCCTGGCTGAACTTTGGTTATGGTAATTATGGTAAAATATGGTTTAATTATGGTAACAATTTGCATTTCTGTTTAAGTAGTTCCAACTCTATAGTGTTATTGAGTAGATCCTTTAAGGTCTCCAAGCTTAATTAAGTTGAACTAACTTAATTTTTATTCAAAAGTTGTGGTCATATTATTATTTAAAGGCTTTATATGCGATTTTTTGATCCAGCAGATGTCGCCCCATGAGCACCAGCATGAAACCAAAACAGCTCGCGGTGCATTGTTGTGTTAGCATGCTAATGTTAGAGATCTTTATTATGCTCGTATCTTCACACTGCATGTAAATTTACCTGAAATGAGTGTGATCTAGAAACACAGTTAAGCAGTGAGTACAGTATGTTATTCTTCTTTTCTCTAGTCCCTCAATTAAACAACTTTTATACACGAGGGGAGGAGTCAGCCGGCCGTCATGGCGATGTAAACAAAGTGAAGATAGGACTCTGAAAACTCTGAAAACATCACAGACAGTGGGACTCAGTGTTACACCCATTGTAGACAGTCATGACTCACAGAGTTATTTTCGGAGGATATACTTGATTTCTATTATATTTAAGTGTGAAAAATTGCATAGAAAGCCTTTAAGATGTTCTAACTTATTTATTTCACTTTGATCCTATTTAATACAATTAAGGTAATAATTTGCATTTACATTTTTGAGTACAAGTATTTTAATTAACTTTTCAGAATAAAAAACACATTGCAACTTTATATTCAAACTGTTAATTATACAATATCACACCAGAAGCACAATGTTTTCTGTAAACTTTAAAGACAGTCAGTCACCATAGCCTTTATATATTTGTAGGAAAGCAGTCTATTGTTTTAAGGACATTACCTTTCGGCTTGCTTTCAGACCGTCTAGCTCAAAAAATATCTGTTGACATACCTCAAATGTTCTGATCAGTTCTTTTGGGTATCTGAGGTTGAGTTGTAAACCAGATCCATCAGAAAGGCACAGCTCTTGGTACATCCAGGTCTTCAAGGTTCTGTTCCTTCACTATCTTTGCGTTGGCTGGATCACACATTATGGCTCCTCTGGCAACAACAATCTCCATCAGTATCCTTCACTTCAGAATCATGGCATAAGGAAGTCAGAATCAACATATTCGATTTTTCGAAGTCATCATGGTTTAAAGATCTCATGCCCT